ACGCCTTTCAAATAAACCCTTTCTGCCTCCTGTACATTTGAGTCACCGCGTTTGGATCTAGGTCGTTCTTCTGGTACTTCCATAGCACCTTTCTCGATCTTTTCTTTGCGAATCGCGTGTAGTGTTGCTACTAGGTCGTCTCTTTCTTCTCTTAAAGGAGTGAAGACGAGCCATTCAAGTTGAGCAGAAATTGGGTCTTGCATGAACTCTGAGTGGACATTGATGGCAGCGGTGATCCGACCGCGTATCTCGGGGATTTTTTCGGCGATACCCTTGCAAAGAGTGGTGGCTAGGCTCTCGGCTGTCACGATAGCTGGCTTGTTAAAGTGAAATTGGGCACCCATTCTCCAGGATTTCGACCATTCGTCGACCATGCTTGCGGCAATGGTTGACTTTCCAGTGCCAGCTTGGTCTACTAGTGCGAAAACTGGTTTGGATTTTGGATCAACGGCCCAGCTTCGTATTTCGTCAAGAGCAGCAGTGCGAGTGCCTTTCAAGCACTTTTCGTGACGCCGGATCGGGAATACATCTGGTAGCTTACTGATTGCGGAGTGGAATGCTTGCAGAAAGCTTCAGCCCTAAAGAAAAAGGAACACATGGAGTGACTCTTACCTTGACGCGCGGCCAGTTCCTCTGTCTGAGTCTGGATCAAAGCAGTGATGGCAATCTTCACAAAGATCAGAATAGAGTAAGATAGAAAGGGCTTGACGTACCGTAAGTCTCCGGAAGGAGTCATCCACTTTCTGTATGCTGACTTTGAGACTGTCTTGTGTTGACCGAGCTGTCGTAATTTTCTTGATAGTTTTCTTGATGCCTCCCTTGTCGCCTCCTCGGAGTTCTTCGAGTTTGTGGCCGATTTCCTGTAATTCTCTACGGAGACTTCAGTGAACGAATATGAGGAATAAATATCTTACATACAGCACATATTTTCTTAATTTCACATGTAATTGTGGTTCCATGACATAATCCTGACTTGACGAGATATTGCTTTGTTCCTCCAAGGAGACTAGGTGTTCGTTAAGTTTATCGATAAGATCTTGAAATTCTTCACTGCTCTGGCGCATTTCCTAAACATCATTAAGTAAATATGTGCCTGCAGTGACCCAGTCAAGGACCCACTAATATCGTTTTCACGAGTGCTTGGATGGCATCACAAGTGGCTTTAAGTGGAGCGAATATTGGTGTTCCAATATTACTGAAGCTATTTCCAGGTTCAAGGGCGGTTGTGACAGGATAGAAACTATCTGTCCAGTTGACAGGGCTCTGTGGTTCATTGCCTTCCGGTATAGTAGCAGGTATTGGGGACCCGCGAGAATCTGGAGGAGTGCGAAGTGATGCTCTCCTTTCACTCTTTGAAAAGAGGCGTTTGAATGTTCCCGAAGATCGTCGCTCTTTGTCTGGTTGGCGATCTTCCATCGGTCTAATTGTCACGCGAATCACCAAAGAAGCGAGCTTCGTAGCGCTATCCTTGAGTGATTCCTGTAGGCACAGAAAGCAATGAGGAGACGATTTGTCGGGCTGATATAATGGAGTTCAAGGTCAAGCGCTGCTGGAAGTTGGAGAGAAACTGCGCGGTTGACGTTTAAGTTCTGCCACTCCCTCTCGATAACAGAGAGACGGCTCGAATATTTACCCGTTTTGACATTGATTTCTTCCATTGAAGATAGCAAGCGAGACATAAAATCTGTTTTCCACATCTCGGACAATGCAACGAAGATAATGACCAGTGATAGTATAGATGAAAAAAGTAGAGGAAGTGGATTACGAAAAGACAACGGATGGAGCAAAGCCAAATTAGCGTCGGGACCACAGTCCGGTTTTTACTTGAACCCTACCCATTGGACTTGACTTCTCACATATTTATTTCCGATAGTTAAAATGGTTTCATTCCAGTATGTCTACATTTTTTTGCCTCTAATTTCGATATTTGACGAACAAAATCCGATAGATGCGACGGTGAGCTTGAGATGGGACTGTGGCCACCGTTTATTGAGTGGTCCATGTCTTTTGGCCAGCCGTTTCTGACAATATAACCACCTCTTTTCCTTGTTCATGCAAAACTAGCCTGTTGCGACGTCGTAAAAAAGCCCAAGCTCGACACTCACCGCGCGAGATGCGGGGCATCATTTACATGCATCGACTGTAGCACTACATTCGCCGGGCCCCATCAATATAAATCACACACTTCATGTGTAAGCGAGGCTCAAAAGTACGAAAAAGGCCTTTACAAGGGAAATAAGAACGGTGTATGTCTTTTCTATTTCTTTTCTCCCTTACCTCTTGTCTTTTGAGAATTAGATACTGATCCTAACTTCCCATTCACACATTCAAAAATATTCTCTAGCACGCCAGTCATGGTGGCAACTCGAACGGAAACGCAGGAAACGCACAATGGTCGCGGGGTAGATTTGGGCAGAATAATCAGAACCGTAATGGTCGATATCAGTATTCCAGGGGCACAGGCTCCAATGATATACCCTTGGGTGCTACAGTCAAGATGACATTTACTCCTCCAAACGAGGAGGTTGCTGACAATCAAGTGGAGCAGGACGCAAAACCATCCGAAGCTCTACCATCGCCAGGAGCAGTGATAGCTATTGAGACTCCAAAACAAGTGGAGGACCAGGAACAGTTACAGCCGGTGAAGACCAAGAAGGGCAAACCACGCAAGCCTAGAGAGCCTCCTCCACCGGGTGAAACGAGGGCAGAACGAAAACAGAGGAAGAAGAAGGAAAAGGCGGAAAGAAAGAAAGAAAAATTGTTCAAAAGAGCTCAACAAAAGGCTTTGGTAGCAGAGGAGAAGAGGGTGCGTCTCCATGGAGGGCCATTATTTCTATAGAATTAATCAACTAACGCCATATATCTAGAAAAAGGCTCTGGAACAAGAAAATGCGTACCTTGAAGCCAATAAAGTTACCACGAGATCAGCTGCAAATTCTACGGTCCTGTCTGACCAGGTGAATGGGACTAGCTATCTGCCACAGGCGCAATCAGATTCTGTAGAAGGAGTCACTCCGAATACCGAACACAGTTCGAAGGAAAAAAGAAGCAAAAAAGCGGAAGTACACTGATATTGACCAAGAGAACACTCAACCGACCACTACTCAAGGCGATGTTGATATGAAGGACGCTGCTCAAAAAGATGAACATCAAGGGGAGGAAAAGGCGA